CCAGGCATCATTTTCTATTTTATTTTAATTTGTTCTATTTTCTAGATTTTCTAATCTGGCTTTTGTTTTTCTTTACAGTTGCTGAACAATCCCGCAACAACATCATTGTCACTGTCCTTGTCCTTGTGCTTGTTGCAATTTTAATTCTCTGCATTTGTGCTGTGTTTTATCGTCGAAAGAGAAGAAAATGTCCAGGTGTGCATTTTAATGTAGAATTACAATATAAAATCTATAAAATCCTCTTTGTTTACTGTACAGCCTCCTAGTGAAGTTCATCATCTACTATACAATCCCCCTTTATTAGAAAATGCAATTACAGTAATCGTATAATTAACATCTTAAACCCTTTATACAGTACACAGTATGGGAATCCACAATTGTTCACTCTTTACCATAGCCATTGTTATATGTTACGACTGAGTATTAGGGCTATACTAAGAGAAAAAAAAATATTTATTTTTGGGGGGAAATTATGAGAATAAAGTAATAATATTACAGAAAATAAAGTCATAATATTAGCTCTACGAGAATAAAGTTGTAACATTACGAGATATGTTCTTTTTTTTTATGTGATTATTGCATCTTTTAAATTAGTCAATCACCAGAACTGATTTTTCACTGTAGAAAAACGGGACAATTTTAAAGTTGGTGTGATCTTTATTGTTTAGCCCATTCACTCTTAGCATCTCCAGGGCAGTTCTCAGGTGAGATCCCAGGGGGAAGGAAATGGGGCATCAGCTCTAGGAATCACTGGCATCACAATAAATACAAATCCTAAACATAGAAGCTTTAAAGTGTGCTGCTGTGTGAAGTTATTTAGACACATCCAAAATGTATAGGTGCAGCTAAAGTTATGTAAATGTAATGTGGTTAAGTAGTAGAAGTAAAGCTCTCATGTAAAGCAACAAGTATTTTTTATGACCTGCAGATAAAAGAGAGAACACCGAAAATACGATATATGCAGTTGCAGAGGTACGTGTCAAGTTTTTTTTTTAACATCACATAACCTACCAGACAAACCAGGGAAACCTGGTGAAAAATGCATAAACATGTGTTTTACAGCTGTTTCAATTACGAAATGGAAATGAAAAACATGCTTCTCACTTTTGTAGCTAATGATACAAAAAAAAATTTTTTAGTTTTTGGTGGCTATATATGAGCTCCTGTGGATACTAAGATTACTTCAAATGTGTATACAGTATAACAACACCATTAGAAATACAGTGTAAAGTAAAAATGGCGAAAAAGGTTTACTAAAAATGTTGTATGTGATCTATTTTGCAGATGGAAGCTGTTGCCCAGCCTCTGGATCCAAGTAATGATGCTTCAGGTCTTTCTACAACCTCCGTATACTGCTTGGTGGGGACCACTGAGACCAGAGGCAGCACTCAATGTAATGCAGACCAAAAAAGTGGAAACGTTTGAAAGACTCTTTGGTGTGTGCACTTCAGTGTATTAGGAGATATTGTGTAAGATAATGTGCTCAATCATACTGTATATAGAATCTAATTCAACAAAGCAGCACTGAAAAAAAGGCAATAACCTACCAACAAAAGACAGCATAAAGACAGGTGTTGGTTGAATCTTAATCTCTGGAAAGAGGACAGAATAAATGTACCTTTGGAAGAATACCAAACAAGGAAGGAAGCCTCAGCTTGGGAACCTGCAGTTGAGCCTTTAACTTACTTTTTCACCTGTACACAAGTTTACATTACATTACAGTAACCTCACTGCAGATCATTTAAAAATTATATTATGTATATTTGTATTTCTTTCTATATTTTTTGATATGTTATTGTTTACAATACTTAATGAACTTGTGTTGTGTAGCTTAGCTTGCAACTTGTATAGTGGGAACCAAAGATTATTGGCCTCTCTAAACAGAATTCAATGTATTATATTATATTATATTATATTATATTGATATTATTATTATGGGTACTTGAATAGTTTATTGTTTCTAAAACAGACTTATATATTTTGAATATTATGAAATGTACATATATTAAATCTTTTTGAGAACATTGTAAATAGAACCACAGTATTACATACAATGTATTGATCAAGGCTATTTATTGTATGCTGTTGTTCTTTTTTCAATATAATATATA